ACATCATTTTCTCTAAGTACTGATGGAAGTAATGATAACAATAACAAAAGTAACCATTGGTTATAACATACTACAGAAAGAAAAGGGAGTGATAATACTTCATAGATTTCTATTTTAGAATGCCGAAAATACAGGAGAAGGTATTTTTAATTGTATAATGAAAACTTTAAAAACAAAGGTTTAGAAGGAAAAATTCTTATCATTTTCTTCAGATAATGCTAGTAATATGATTGGAAAGTTTAAAGGTGTAGCATCATTTATCAAATGCATCAACCAAGTATAATCACCCGGGTTGTCCGTGCCACCTCTTGCATATAGCTGCAAAAAAAGCTACTGAAAAATTAATTGGCTCAGAAATTGAAAGTTGATAATAGATATAGAATGTTGATTTTTACTTGGAGAAAAGTTCGAAACAGAAGCATAGCTTCAAAGTTGCTCAACAAATTTGGGACAGAATGCAAAATCTCAAAATTTTTGAAATATGCAGTACGAGATGGTTGTCTCTTTTAGAATCTATAACAAGGATTTTGGACAGTGGGAGGCTGTGATAAATTTTTTTGAGATAAACCAGATAACATGAGAAATGAAAAGAGATTGCAAAACATTAAAAAAATTTTACAGTCACAACCACCAAATTGTACTTGTTTTTTTGAAAATACTTTGCCTTTGTTTATACAGTAAATATTTTGCAACACAAGCTCCTTATATACATAAATTGAGAAGAGAACTTTTTTGCCACTTTTAATGAATTTATTTGTTAGATTCGTAAAACCATCAGTAATTTCTAAAGAAAATGAGAGTTACTCTAACGTCTATTCCATTTCAGAAGTATAGTAAACAAAAAGAAAATAAAATTTAGTGATTGGTGCGGAAACAAGACTATATTAAAAAATGCCAAGTTGAATGAAAGTGAAGTGAAATCATTTTTCAATTCTGTGCGAGCTTTTTTTTGTAACTGCATGTTCATATATAATTGATAAATTCCACTGAGTGATCCATTTCTGAAAATCTGAAGTTGCTGACATCAACTTGAGAACTGAAGTCTCATTTTCATCTGTTCTTTACTTGATGAATACTTTTCCTCCATTATTGATGAAAAATGTCCTAATCAAGTAGAAATTGAATTTTCCATGTATCAAGTAATGATTTTGAAAGAAATTGTAGATTTGCGTATTGATATAGCATGGGGAGAAATTGCCAAATTAAAATATGAATGGGTGTATTAAATACAAGTATTGCCTTCTGTAATGCTTGCTGTCTTAATAACCTCATTCAAATGCAGCTTGCGAAAGAATTTTTTCTATTGTAAAAAAAATCAGATGGAATTTCAACCAAATTAGGTCTTAAAACTCTTGAAGCAGTTTTGATTGAAAAAATAATATGCAGGCAAATGAAGAACTGTGTTAAAAAACATTCTCAAATCAGAACTTAAGCTTGCTAAGCATGCTACATATAAATCTTTGCATTCAAATTATGCGTATTTTGTTTAATACTTATATGTATCATTCTTGGTTATTTATTTTATTTCCCTGTAGAAATCATATCCAGAATAAAGATTGATTTATAGCTTCTGATTTTTTCTATGATTAGTAGTGATTTGAAGTACTTTTTATTAGTGAATGCTTGAGGAGTTAAAAGAAAATTTCTAATTAAATGTGCATATAATTTACAAGGTATATTTTTAATTATTCAGTGTTATATGTATATGGATTTTAAATGTAATAAAATTGATTACAATTAATTATTAATTTAAAATTAATGAATGGTTAATTACAACATACGCTACGCGCACATTTTCAAAGTTGTAAAAATGTCGTTCGCGCGTTGACTACTGACAAGGTTTGCTGAAGGTTGGAGTCTATGCATTGTTGCGTACAGTATTGCTAAAAATAATAAAGCTCTCAGTGATATGAAGTTCTTTAAACAATGTATTCTCCAAGTTTGTGATGTTTTATGTTCATGCAAGAAAAATAACTTTGAGACTGTAAGCTTATCTGGAAAAACAGTGACTTCTAGAATCGAAGACATCGATAAAAATTTGACATCACAATTAGAGTGAAAGATTGGCCGATTTAAATTTTTCTGTATAGCTATGGATGAAGGCACTTATAATAAATGATACGGAACTACTCTGATATGCGCCCTCAAGTCGCCAAATTTCTTGCCAAATATTTTTGGCGAGAAACTTCACGCTACCATTACTATCTAAATTTTTTTGTCTACATTTGAACTTTAAGCCTAAAATGTCTCCAAAAACACGGTTTTTGCATATGCAAAAACTACGTTTTGAACACACGATTTAAGCTAAAAATTCGAAACAAAAACAAAAAATTTAGATAGCAAAAACGTAAAGTTTCTAACCAAAAATATTTGACAAGAATCCATGTACACAGTGACATGTTTTAACTTAAAAAAACATCTACGAATGGCACACTGTGGGCAATGAACGAATCTACGAACTACGCACACCTCACTTTAATAAATTAACAACAATAAATTTCAAAGAATACCATGTACACAGCGTTCTGTTTCAACTTTAAAAAATATCTACAAATTGCACAATCTACACTAAAAACAAATCAAATAAACTAAATTTCAGACAATTCAAAAAACAACAATAAAACGAAATTCATACAGAAAACATGAATATACATTCTACAATAAAACAATAAAATAAAATGCACTTACCATAACGAAAGCTTCTTTTAAAAGCAGAAATATCTTCTTCCCCTATCTTCTCAGATACAGAGCATAAAGTCCAAAATCGTTAAAATAAATTTCGCCAGTCACACAACGTCTGTGAGAAAACTTCCACGATTTTGCTATATCGCATGCCTTCCTATGATTCAAAATTTCGAAAGTAACAATAAAAACTTCCTCCACGTTAACTGCTACACCGAAAACCAAGATCCAAACCTTAAACTCCCTGACACTCACAATTTTTATTAGCAACAATTTTACTGCAAACCCACACAAGTCTATCAGAAACACCTTTTTGTTCAGTTTCTCATATCAGCTCCGCATTTCGGACACGTCAAACTCTTTTAAAAGTCCCGACCCACAGAAATTTCAAAAATCACTACGATCCCCATAAATACATCCGTGGAACAAACACTCGTTAACAGCTCCAACATTGTACCTTTCCATACTAAATTTACTTTGCACACAATCTAAAATATGCGGCTGAAACCTTCCCACCACATCTTTCATCGCAACATAGGCCATTTCAAAAACACACGCGACACGAACCAACTACAATTTAAACTACTCCACCAAAAGACTTTTCAACATCGACATGGTTGCCATACAACACGCAATCGCGCCAAAACCAGCGCAAAACACATATCGCCACATTTGGTGAAAGTAGGGCATTTATCAGAGTTGTACCAATGATACTACTCAATTAGTAGTATGAGAACTTTGAAATTACCGAGGAGCTGACGTGCATGCGTTCTACGACTAGAATGGGATGTGATATTTTTCGTGAATTTCAGGAAGCGTTTTTAACTTTGAAAGCGCCTGTAACAAATATATGTAATATTATGGCTGACGGAGCACAAAATATGACAGCAAAAAATCTGGATTTCTTGGACTCTTTAATCAAAACGTTCCCGGGAACAATGTTGTTTTTCTACACTGTGTTAAACATAAAGATGCTCTGTGTAAATCTGCAATTGAATATGAAACCCGTGCTTGATGCGGTTGTGAAGCTTGTGATTTATTTATTCGATCTCGTGGGCTTACTCACAGATAATTTCAAGATTTTCTTCACTCCTTGCAATCTGAATACTCTAATGTACTGTATTACATGAAAGGTGGTTTGGTGCAGGATGTGTTTTCAAGCAAGTCTGGCAGTTGAAAGACAATATTGTGTTGTTCTTCCATGAGAAATAGTGTGCTGCAGAGTGCAAAATGTTAAAAGATACAGAATGGCTTTCGAACTTTGCATTTTTCACAAATCTTTTGTCATATGAGCAACTTGAATACCAAGATGCAATGGAAAAATCAATTTATTGAAGATATGTGGGCCCATCTCAAATCTTTGAAACTAAGACTTAATCTGTTTGCTGGGCAGCTAGATTAAAAGTGACTTGTCTCATTTCCTGAGGTTAAATTCAATACCTTCAGTAAATGAAGAGAAGCTTAAGAATTATGAAGATAGATTGAAAAAACTGCATTTTGAGTTCGAACGCAGATTTCAAGATTTCAGAGCAAATTTCAAAATGAATTGGATATTTTTACCATGCCTTTCAATGTAAATTGTGAGGCAGTGAGGTCAGATTATCAGCCTGATTTAACTGAGTTACAATCTATCAATCATTTCAAGCAGTTGTTTCTAAATATGCCAAATTGAAAGCTTTACTAATCGTTATCGAAAGCAAGTTTCCCAAATTTAATATCTCACGCCCAGAAAATCAGTGCTATATTTGCTTCATCTTATATATTGTGAATAAGTGTTTTCAACTAACCTTAGAAAGAATTATTTCAGAAGTAGACTGACAGATGAGCATTTAGCCTCATTTCTTAGAAGCAGTACATCTCATTTTGAACCTCAATATAAGGATATTTCAAAAATGAAATCATAAATTCATTCATCTCATTAACATATTAAAATTACTTGTATATTGTTTTTAAGATTTCAGAAAAATTTATTTTGGCCCGCGACCGAAAAAGTTTGCACATCCCTGGGGTAAGCTAAATAAATTTCTGCATGGCAGAAATATGTATACTTATTTGCGCTTCTCACTAAAGAAAAGATACGTGTGAAAGCAATTAGTGTTATATAAGCATTATTTATAAGTTAATGAGTTAAATAAATTTATGAGCACAGTAACAAGTAGTATGTAAACCTAATCAATGTAATCTCTATATGTATAAGAGTTTAATTATAAGTTATTAAATAGCATGTATAAATTAAATCAATTTGTGGAAAATTGTAGAATAAATTTTATCCTTGCATGTATAAAAAAATATGCATGCTACCATTTTTTTGCTGAAATATATTTAATCTGAATATTTATATAAACTAATAATGATTATTTTCTTTTTTTTTCCAGAGATATGGCTAAGTACCCATTTCAAGCAGACAAAGAACGTTTAGTTAGCACTTTGACTCGATTTGATAACAGTGTCACAGGTTATTGTTATTTGTTAAATTTAAAGTTGTATTTTTTAAATATGTAATACATGGATTCTAACTATGTATCATAGATTGTAAAAAAAAAAAAAAAAAATATTAAAATTTCCAAATAAAGGGTTGGAGATTTTCAGTTTTTATCACATTTCGCAGTAGATCACAGAATCTCCTAGTTAAATGCTTCCCAACAATAATTTAAATTTCTTAATGCAAATTAAATTTTCCAAATCCTTCTTCTCCACCTCAAGTGAATTTCAGCATAATTTTTTATTAAATTTTATTTTGTATAAATTGTTTTAATTAGATTTAAGTAATATTTAATGAGTTGATATATGAATTTAATTTTGTTTTATATACAGTCAAAAGTCGGTTATTCGGATACCTATAATCCGGACCTCAAACCTACATGCGTCGCGTTGACACATGCGCGTAAGACCTTTATGGCTGCAAATATGCGTGTGCGCATAATACATATACGCATGCGCGTTTAATGGATAACGGATGGTATAAGCTAAGCTAAAATTATCTAATTCAGTTAATGTTGCAGATTGCATTGTTCCTTAATCTTCGAATTGGATCCGGCTTATTATTTTTTGCAGACTGTTAGAGCAATTTTATAAAAGTAAGTTTCGAAGTCCATTAAACAAAAAGTGGAATTGCTGCAAAAAATGGATAAAGGCATATCCTTCGTTTCTCTAACCATTCCGAAATCTGTTTATCAATTTCATGCTGCTCTGCGGCATGTGGGGAACTCTGCGAGGTGCAATATAATCCGGACCTAAAAGCTACAAACTTTCTGCGCATGCCTCACATCGACGCATGCGCATAAGACCTTTACGGCTGCAAATTTGCGTATGCGTGTGCGCAAAATACGTTTACGAATGCACGTTTAATGTATAACGGACGGTATAAGCTAAGCTAAAATTATCTAATTATCTATTTCAGTTAATGTTATAGATTGTGTTGTTCTTTAATGTTTGAGTTGGATCCGACTTATTATTTTTTTAAGACTGTTAGAGCAATTTAATAAAAGTAAGCTTGAACTTTCGATTATGTCAAACAGAATTTCCGATATATATTTACTAATATGTAAAGGATCTACAAAGCGAAAGTATGTTTTGGAGTCTATTAAACAAAAAGTGGAATTACTGCAAAAAATGGATAAAGGAATATCCATTGTTTATCTAAACTTTGTTTATCTTTAACGCCACGGCACGCAATGAATTGGAAGTTGATCTGTCAGCACTATCCTTATTTCAGGGCAAATGTTTTATTTTATTTGGCTTATAATTACTTACTAAATGTGTATTTCATCTCGAGATACTCCGTCTTTGATATGATTTAAATCAATTCTCCTCATTATAATTCGCTTCCAATAGCAAAGAAAGTGACACAGAGGTTATTGAAACGTAAAAGTTTTGATTGACAAATTAGTCGGTTTCTCGACACAGCATTGTAGGACTTGAACAGCGGAACTTTGTAACGGAACAAGAAATTATGTCTGGTTATAGAATTAAGAGAATGTATTATCACATAAAAATGAAGCAACTTAAACAACTTACGTGAAAAAATGTTTAATAAAATAAACAAATAAATATTAAGCTTTTTTTTTTTTTTTTTTGTAAATTTTGATACCACTTTAGATCATTATTTTTCTTTATTTCCTAAATTATGGTTTCATATTTTTAATTTTATAATTTCTGCATGCCATTTTATCAGATTTAAACTGATGATCTATAATCCGGAATCGCTGAAGTCCCGACAAGTCCGGATTAACGACTTTTGACTGTATATGAAAATTTCATAATGAAATTATTCAAAGAATGTGAAGTTTAGAATGTCTAATTAAATATTGATAAATTTTACCTCAGAACAATGTCGTAAATAGTTTAGTTAAGTGAATCATGCATTTTAAGGTGAATTTAAGTTAGTTTAAAGTTCTTTTGAATTGACATCATTGCACACTGCTGAATCACAGAAAGTCCTGATTTCATGCAAGAACCTCCTAGTTTTTCAAAGTTCATATTGTAGAAACTGACTTTGAAAATACCTCGTTTTTGTATTTTGGTAGGAAATTTAAATATGCTGCAGAATATTTAGGTTCTTTCATTGGAAAAAATGGCATTTTGATTTCTTAGTTTAAAATATAAAATTTATTTTATTTTTGGTTAACGTATATTTAAGGATGCCAACTTGGATTATCGCCAAGTTGTCTTATTAATGGTAACCTGAGTAGTAAAATGTGGCAAAAATTTATTCTACAGTACATACCCCTTGGTGAATCGTTTCTCTTTTGATGCCAAGATTGGTGGCAATTTCAAGATGGCCGCTACATCAAACCAAAATAAGAAGTCAAAGATTTACACAAACTTGGTGTCCATGTTACACATAGACCTATTTTCACCATCAGAGAATTGCACAAACTAGGCATTGCGCACTGCCTTAAATTTGTCCGTGTACGCATCGATCTATTTTCACTTGAACAAAATCAGGAAGCTAAAACAAAGTTAAAACTATCATGTTAACCAGAAAAAGTTCGCTGCTGTCTTAACACATGGACACTAACAAATAACCAAAATATACATATTTCCTAACATAAAAACATTAAGCAACAAATCTTTTAATAAAAATTAACACACAGAGAATAATAAATAAATGAAACGTCAATTTTTTAACATACCTTGTTTTCAAGTGCATACATTCAGGCTTCCCACCACTATCTCCTCCATCCTTCACGTGAGCAATTCAATTAAATTTTTCGGATTTTCGGCTCATCCGCTGTTAATCAACATTCATCCCCTTACTCACCTCGGACATACTGAAATGGTGATACCCACAGCAACATAATAGCAAGTTCAGAATCCAAGACCATATCATGCACGTGCAAGCAAACACAGCAATTGAAAAGAATAGTAAGAACCAAAAACCCTGGTTCATATGAAAGAGTTACTATTACAAAAAAGCATAGTACGCTTCCAGATTTCGCAAACAACCAATACTGCTTGGCGATTGTTTTCAGACAAAAACCAAGAGGTACTGTACATTTAAGATTAGCCGTAAAATGTTATGAAAACCCTAGGTTGATCTTTAGAATATGGTAACTGGTAGTTTGGCGACATTTTGGAGGCGATAAAGGTTACTACCTGGGACTTTGGTAATAATGTGAGCAGTACTCAGTTCCGATTACGCATTATTTTGTGTGAGGGAATGAGAGATCATGGGATATGTCATGTGATATTAATGGATGAATTACGGTTCTTTAATCGGAAAAGGGGGGAAAATCTGGAAATTTTGTATTTGGCTTTATTCTGTGTTTGTGTGAAACAGTGTTCGTGAATTTTTGGATCCCATGGCCGTAACTAAAGTGAATTCGAAATGGGTATTTATGTATGTACTCATTTATATTTTAAGTAGTGTTTTTGAATTTAATTATTTTAATTAAATGATGATAGTTATTTTGTGAATTTTATGTTTGTAGGAATTTGGTATACGTTTTAGTTGAAGTAAACGTGCATGGAAATAATTTAAATATCTGAAACTAAGTATTTGTAATGGTTTTCGGTATGAATTCGTTGGTGACGTGTATAATGTAATAGATGATTTAGAGGTAAAAGTTTTGGATATTTTATTTATTTATATGTGGAATGTTCATTACTTTTTCGCGATCAGTAATTTCATATATTGTTCTTTTTACCGGGTTTAAAGATTGAGAAAATTGTCATGTTTTCGTGAAATTTTTTCTAATTTAAAAAAGCAGTGTACATGGATATAGTGAAGAGTGTGCGCAATGCCATTTTTTGTGCAATTCTGGGATGTTTTTTTAAGTAAAAATAAGACGGCGTGTACATGGTTTAGTGATATTTTAATTAAATGATAGTTATTTTTGTGAATTTTATGTTTGTAGGAATTTGGTATACGTTTTAAGTTGAAGTAAACGTGCATGGAAATAATTTAAATATTTGATACTAAGTATTTGTAATGCTTGTGGTATGAATTCGTTGGTGACGTGTATAATGTAATAGATGATTTAGAGGTAAAAGTTTTTGGATATTTTATTTATTTTATATGTGGAAATGTTCATATTTGGAAAGGGTAAATACTTTTTTCGTGATCAGGTAATTTCATATATGTTCTTTTTACCGGGTTTAAAGATTGAGAAATTGTCATGTATTTTCGTGACATTTTTCTAATTTTATGAGAAAAAAGCAGTGTACATGGATATAGTGAAGAGTGTGCGCAATGCCATTTTTGTGCAATTCTGGGATGTTTTTTTAAGTAAAAATAAGTCAGCGTGTACATGGTTTATGTGTATGTGTTATTTTGAAAAACGCGTAAGGAGTATGGTATTGTGCACTTTTTCCCAATTTTGCAGTGAATATTTGTCATGATTAAGCAGTTTTGTTAGATAAAATTTCTAGCATAAGTGTAATTCGGCTAGTAGATTGTTGGAAGAAGTGTTCAGAAGATAAAAAGAAAAGAAACATGTCTTTACTTCGTGAAGACAAAATGGCGGCGGGAAAAAAAAATAGAGGTTTGCTGTAGGAGAGTTGGTTGCCAAATTTTCGCCAAAAAAACGCCAAGTTACCATAATGTAAAGATCAACTAAACCCTATTATGACATGATTGGTTGCATGATTGCAGAGAATTTGACTGATGGGAAAATATTTGTTGGATAAGTACGTCGCGTATTGTGTGCTGTGCATCGTAAAATGTCTGCTGGTGGTAAAAAGGGGGTGTTTGATGGTATAGAATGAGAGAGTGAAAGGTGTTCCTTTTTTTCTTTTCTTTTCTTTTTTTTTTTTTTTTTTTTTTTGAAGTGGTTGAGGAAAGGAACTTTGTTGGATGTAATTCAATGGAATTATAAGTGTCCTTTTTGTACAAAGGAAATGGTTATGGGTCTAATGTAAAGATCGTTCAGATGGCTTTGAGTGGGTTTGTCGCAAGAAAGGTTCAAATGCTCACCATATAAAGTGTTTCATTAGAAAGGGAATATGGTTTGA